AGGGGTCAAGCGATGTCAATGTTGATTTCATTGATTTTCGATACCACATGATCCAAACATCGAAAACCTAACATGCTAACCATTGGATATTTCAAAATCGGCAAATTTCTATCACACATCGTTTCCGTTTTTTTTTTCCAACGTGTCGTCGGATCCATTTCTTGTTATGGCAGTCGTCATCGTACAATCCATAAGCAAGGTTCGCGAACAATTTCAATTGAATGCTGCAAATTGGTACGGCGTCTTGTTGCCCCACCCAGTCACACGTTTTAGATACTTGTCATTGTGCGGTTTAACAATGTTTGCTTACAGATATGTGGCACCCCTTTTGGAAACAGATCCCAGTGGCTTTATTATGTTTTGAGTGTGCCTAGCCTAGCCTACTTCCAAAATCTTCCAACAAGGAATGGAAATAACAAAATGAGTATAAGAGGACGCTTTATGTCACTTTATGTGTGGTTCCGCACGGAACATGATTTTTTTTGCGAATTTAGCACCGCAATGGAAAAGTTACATTTGTAGATGCAAACCAATATGTATATATCGGCAATGTCCCTGGCAACATGCCATTTGATTGTATCTTGTGTGCGCGCGCGCCTTGTTTTGGAGCATCTCCACGCTTAGATGGAGCATTGTTTTTAAGAACATTTTTTTCCGTCCCTCCACTTATAATTGTTCCTTTTTCCATGCGCTTGATTCTTTTCACGCGAGATAATGGCAAATTGACCGGCCAGTGCGAAAGTGTGGGTGAGCAAGTTGGGAGATGTCGAGGTGGAAAGGGGTGAAGGAAAAACGCACAGTGTTCTTACCTTTGTTACTGTTTGCAAATTTCGCTTGGTGCAAACTAGGTCTCAGTACGTGCAGGCGAAATGTCTATTTACGTCCCCATTCAAATGGCCCAAGTGGAGTCCGGTGGTGCTGTCATGCGAGTACGAGAGGCGGAATGCTCGCGACAACTCTCGTCGGACTTCTTGAGCAACCTTACGTTGAATTGTGTCTGTCCTTAGAAAAAATCGCCGTACGTATTTCCAGGCTTCCGACGCTTCATGTAAAACGATATTATTTCTTTTCCATGCGCGTTATGATTCAAAAAATACTTGAACTTGAATGTTTCCGCTCCGATGGCTGGCAATTGACTTTCTACCTAAATGTAGATTTTGGTCCCGCAAAGCATTAAAGCGTTGGTATGAACCGGCACAGTGAAATGATTCAGGACGAAACGTTCTTCCCCTGCGAAATGTTTATTTTCACCGAGGCGCCAATACAGCAAAAGGCAACAGGTGTAGTGCTTGGGAGCAGGTGTGACGAGGAATGTGGGAACAAAGAATCAATGTACGCGGGTGCTTGATGCCAATAAGTTGCCAGCAGCCAATGCCCAGGCAATGAAAATATTTTATGCGTTTTGTTTCCAAATTTTGATTTTCACCTGCGCATGGTTCAGTTCAAGGCAGCAATGAAAAATTGAATCCATCCCAGGCCCTAGATGAGGAACATTTTCGTGTTTGAATGGACGAACGTGGTATTTGTGATGCAATTGTCCTGTCTGGTCTGGTTTGTTTTTTTAATCCAAACCACGTTTGGATAAGGGAAAATATGGTTCAGTAAGCTTGAGCAAAACAATTTAACAAGGAACCATGTATTTGCAGTCCAGGGCCCCGATGTCAACTAAGAAATTTCCGGCCAGAAAACATCATTCCATTCAGGACACTTGCTGCACAGAGATTCAGGCACAAAAAAGGCACCCTCAATGCCAGGTACAAGCTTGAAACCAGATGGTTCCTGCGTCAGTGTTGGTGCACCAATTCCAGACGAAAAAACATTTTTTTTGTTATCACAGTTCTTCGACATGCCGTTTCTTTTTTGGTGAATTTCGCTTAATCTTCGGCAACGTGGTAGCCAAATTTTGTCGAACAACCCCGGGCCCAAAATGTTGTTGAAATGTTCAATGCGCACATGTGACTTATGCAACTCAACGTTTTTTTTTGCTTAAACAACAAATCCGACCACAATGCCATCAGCATTACTTCTGTTCATGACCCTTGGTTCCACAGATTTGGTCCCAATAAAATTTGGATTTATAGATTGTCCCCTCAATTGTTTGGTGGAAGGGGGAGGAGGAGCGGCCACACCAATCAGCGTCTAACATTAAACCAAATGGAATATATGCACCACGATCCAAACCGGCACCCAGAAACAATACGTTATTTGGGACATTTTCGTGCCGGATGATGGGAAAGCCCCTCGTCATGGAAAGGTGTGATGATTGTGTTCCTGGTTTCCCGTCAAGAATCTTCCCCCCGCTTCCACAAACCTGATCTTCAATTCGGTTGAATCAATTTTCAATACGGTATGTTTTTATAACGAAAAAAACCAAATTCACTGTTGCTATTGCTGCTGTTGTCGCTGTTGTTATGGCTGTTGTTGCTGCTGTTGTTGTTGCGGTTGTTGTTGCTGTTGCTGTTGCTGTTGCTGCCGCCGCTGCCCCCGCCGCCGCTGTTGGTGTTGGTGTTGGTGTTGGTGTTGATGTCGGTGTTGGTGTTGGGGTTGGCGTTGTTGGTGTTGTTGGTGTTGTTGGTGTTGTTGATGATGATGCTGTTGGTGATGTTGCTGATGTTGCTGATGTTGTTGCTGTTGTTGCTGGCGTTGCTGTTGCTATTGCCCTTGCGGTTGCTGTTGCGGTTTCTGTTGCTGTTGCGGTTGTTGTTGGTGTTGTTGTTGTTGTTGTTGATGTTTTCTTTTTTTGTTCTTGTTGATGTTGATGTTGTTGTTGTTGTTGCTGTTGTTGTTGTTGGTTGCTGTTGTTGTTGTTGTTGTTGCTGTTGCTGCTGCTGCTGCTGGTGTTGGTGTTGGTGTTGTTGTTGTTCTTGTTGTTGTTGTTGTTTGTTTGTTTGTTTGTTTGTTTGTTTGTTTGTTGTTGTTGTTGTTGTTAATGATTAATGTTAATGTAACGTTGTCAAGGTAATGTTTTAATGTAACGTTACTGTTGTTTCATGTTGTTTCATGTTGTTTCATGTTGTTTCATGTTGTTAATGTTGTTAATGTTGTTACTGCTGTTACTGTTGTGAATGTTGCTGATGATGTTGTTGATGTTGTTCTTGTTGTTGCTGTTGTTGGTGTTGGTGTTGGTGTTGTTGTTGTTGTTGGTGGTGGTGGTGGTACTGTTGCTGTTGCTGATGCTGATGCTGTTCTTCTTCTTCTTGTTGTTGCTGTTGTTTTTGTTGATGATGTTGCTGTTGGTGTTGTTGCTGCTGTTGTTGCTGTTGTTGCTGTTGTTGCTGGTGTTGCTGTTGCTAATGCCGTTGCGGGTGACTGTTGCGGTTGCTGTTGCTGTTGTGGTTGTTGTTGTTGTTGTTGTTGTTGTTGTTGTTGTTGTTGTTGTTCCTATTGTTGTTCTTATTTTTGTTTTTGTTTTCGTGTGCGCGCTTGCAGCTTGGGTTTGGGAGAATGGGTTTGGAAATGAAAAAACTTGTTGGACGGAATTGTTTTTCCTGAGAACATTGGGTCTCAGAAAACATTTCTCACAATAGGACCAATAGGGGCCCAAACCCCAAAACAGGAATTTGAAATATAAGTTACTGGAAAAAAACACCATAGGGTACCATCATGACATTTATTTCATGTTGTACGTAGGTGGTGCCGAGGCGGAACAAGTCAGGGCCATGCCATTAAAACCTTACGTTTTGAAACTAATTCCCAAGACTCTTACGAGACCCGGTAGCCGTGCTTTTTGTTGTTTTCATCGGTGAGGGGTGATGTTCCCAGGGTAGCGTCATAGCAACGTGTAGGGTAGTAACCATAAACCATTTGCTATTTGAAATAGTATATGCAAACATTTGTTGAATTCAGTCGGTGTCAGTTGCTTTGGCACGTTTTTGCCTTTCCAACTTTGAAAATAGTAATGTTGCAGCCTTTGGCTCACAACTCCAGAACATGTCGGGTAAAGCCAAGCTGGCCGGAGCCCTGGGTGTGGCGGAGTTGCTGGAAACCGACTTGAGGAAACCTTTGCCGATTAGCCCCAAGAAGGAACGTCAAAATGTCGAGCGGGGCAAAGCCGCAGCAGCTTCACCAGCTTCACCATCTTCTGCAGGGATGGCAACATCCACTGGTGAAGTGAACAGAAAACCCAAAGAATCGGTGGATGCTGCGGATGTGATGGATGCCAAGGCACTTGTGGAACCGAGCCTGGGAGTGGCACCAACAGATGGTTATGTCAAGCCGGATTTCCCAGTGGCGACAAAGGGCAAAGGTGATGGCAAGGGCAAGGGGAAAAACTTGGATCTTTCCAGACCCAGTGCACCTGGCTGTCAGAGCCCTCCCAAGAGCGACATCTCTCCAAATGCTCAGTGCACCATCTCGGAGGGTTATGGGCCATCGGAGATTCGCACCAAAGTCTTCCGGATCGGAGCTCCATTGTTGAGAAGTACCATTCCAGTCACACTTGGGGGAAAGAAGGATGCGAAACCAACCTCCAAGGTTGAAGGCTTTGAAGGTGATGAGAAAGATGGAAGTGATGTTGAAACCATTCTATCCCTATCTGATGGTGAGCATGCGGAAGAGGGACAGCTTTCAGTGACGTTGGATTTTCCCTGTTAGTTGCCAAGGTGTTTCAACCTGATAGATTGCACGGTGGCTGGGAGATGAACGGTCTCCTGGTTGAAAACGGTTTCACCTCGTAGTCAAATAGACATCCTCACATCAAATTCAGATGGATCTTCGATGATCTTTGCGCATTTAGTTCGAGAAAATCGGAAACGTGGCCGCCGTGCACTGTGCAGAGCTGATGTAGTCAGGCCCGTCATGACCCCAAAGCAGGTTTCACAGTGATGCTTCGGGGGGATTTGTTGGTTGATTTGTTGGTTGATCTCTTCATCCCCAATTGGGATGATCAACGTCGATTTGGGACAGGTGTAAACTGATCAACGTCGATTTGGGACAGGTGTATCAAACACAAAGCCACGTTGGTTGATGGCTTGGCCACCTTGGCCCCTTGGCTCAAAGTAGTTGCATCTCATTTGCCCCTCGACCTGACCCAGCCTCGCCTCGCGGCCCACGTGTCCCGGCTGAGTCGGAGGGATGGGCTGATGGTAGATAGCTATCAGATAGCTGCGAAGATGATTGGAAAGATCGGATAGTGTTAGCCTTTCAAGGACCTGTTGATATAATACGATGTCCAAGCTATTACTATAGTCCAAGCGATCATTTTTTTGGATCTAGCGACCAAGGTTTGGCAGAATGCCATTGAACTTTCACTAAGCCAACTCCAGTGAGGTCCAGCCATGTCCAGCCATCCCTACAATCCAGTTTTGAGGAGGGCAGGCCAGGTGGCCGCCTACAAATGTACCGTGAACTCTGGCAGAATACCTGATAAGACGTGTTTCCAGACACAAACCCAGAGATGGATTCCACTTCCTTTCTGAAACTTCAGCAGTGGGACAAGGTTCCACCAATCCAGTGTTTTGTAAATCTGCGAAATAACAATGAATCATTTGTATACCCTGAATTCGTAGGCCCAGGACATTAAACAAAATAATTTCAATCATAGAGTTGCCAGACTCCAGCATGAGCAAATTTGGATGCATGACCATCACCATTTTTTTAGAAAGCCACCATTGTTGAAATTAGCCCGCCCTGTTCCAGTAACTTTTTGGACACATCATTTCAGGATAGATCAAACTGAGCTGAGACTTAAGTTTCAGTCAGCTTGCGCTGACATTACGGAATTCCAGGATGACTGGCCGCTTGTTCCAAATGTTTTTACAACCTAACTTAAGTGGGTTACTGATCCCGACCGACTTTCACCTATCTCAGGGGGTGAAACCGCTAATTATTGGATTGATCTAAGCGAGAAGATGCAGGGTCCACCCTTGTATTTGACGGAAAAACTCGAAGTTTCTTGTAGATTTGTCATTCAAAATCATCCCATTTGTGGGATTGAATGTTGGTTCATATCTTATACCTGCGTTTTTTTGATAGTTGTCACTTTTACCCCCAGCACTTTTCCTGTAAACAATCCAGCTATGTACTTGGCCGTTGACCCCAGGAACCGTAAGCGGTTTAGTTCACCCCAGTGACAACTGGATGCACCCTACTTACCCTACTGCCCTAACTTGGGCGAAGGGTGAACTAACCCACTTAACGATGTGGAGGGAGCCACCAAGTATGGTACGGATGTTCCAATTTTTCGGATGCTTATCCCAGTTATCGAAGGAAGTTCAGAAGTCAAACTTCCGACAAAATGGACAGATGGAAAAGCAGAGGTGGGAAGAGTCAGAGAAGAGAAGAGAAGAAGAAAGAAGATCAGAGAAGAGAAAGGGTCAGAGGAAAGAAGATGCAGGTGCGCGAAAAGGTAGAAAAGTCGCGACTCATTATGTTTTTCCAATGATTTGTGGCTCCAGAGGGTCGAAAAGTAGGCTCGCTAAAGCAACGGGTGCAGAGCCATCTGGCCAGATGAGAGATGAAAATTTGCACGTCGTTGTGGCGCGAAGCACATTTGCAAGTCAAAATGTGCAAAACACACCAACGTCGGACCACTTTTGGAAGTTGAGATGTCGAAAAAGTGCAGGCCGTTGTGGCGCGAAGCACATTTGGAAGTCCAAAGTGTTAAAAACTGGCGGTGTGGAGAGGAGCACATTTCCAAGTCAAAATGTACTAAAGACTTCATTCAGCCTCGGAACACATGTAGAAGTTCAGATGTCGAAAAAGTGCACGCCGTTGTGGCCCGAAGCACATTTCGAAGTCAGAATGCTAAAAACGCCACATGCTCGGACCACTTTTGAAGGTTCAGATGTGGTTTTGCGTGGGAGGCACAAAGGATTCCGCACCTAGCCAAAAGTGAGCAAGACGTAAGGGTTTTTGTAGCATGTCTAAACGATGGCAGGCGTGGGACATTTGAAGAGGATGTGGAAAGATAGTACGAAAGACATGTTCATCAGAGATGTTAGAAGGTCAGGGCGCTGATTTCTTGAGAGGTTTGCATTTTGGAGCATCAGATCTGTAGGTTTGCTAAGATGATTTTGCGTGACAGGTGCAGCACTTCGTATGACTTGGCATCATTTTTTCGTGGCAGGCGCAGTACTTTAGACAGATGGACTGGAAAAATCGCAAAACGCATTGGTACGAGGCCGTCAGCTCTGAGAAAGTCTCGCAGAATTGCTTCGTTTTTGATGTTGTCAACTTGAAGCATTGAGGATGTCTCGCAGAATTCTTTCGTTTGTCAAGTTCAAAAATTGAGGATGTCTCGCAGAATTGCCGCGTTTTTGATGTTGTCACCCTTCGAAAATGGAAGAAGCCTTGCAGAAATGCTATGTTTTCAAGCTTGCAGATTGCAGATAGACAGATAGACAGACAGATAGATAGATAAATAGGTAGGTAGGCAGGCAGGTAGATAGACAACTACACCTACAACTACAACTAGGCTACGCTACTACTACAGCTACAAAGAAACTACGGTACATCACGCTGCACTAATTACATCTAATTACTCTACACTACACTAATCACGAAAGCTAGCGTCAGCTCGCTAGAGTCTTCTTGCTTTAGCAAGTATTCCGGGGCTCCCCAAGGACATCACGTGATTTTTCACGCGAAAGGGCCCCCCCTGCCCCCTCCCCCATATATATCATTGTTATATATCATATATCATATATCATTGTTGCATCCTCGTTGGGACGAACAATGCCGCGACACGATGATGACAGTCCCTCCGCAACTCACCTCTTCCCTTCCTTCTTTCTCCTACCCCGCTAGCTTTCGTCATCCACCCCCGGCCTCAAGTTACACTGCAACAACAACAACAACAGCCACCACTTACAAATACAATTGCAACTACACCACGTTACACTACACTGCACTAATTGCACTGCGGCACACTACAACGACAAATGCAAATGCAACTACACTAGATTACACAACACTACGCTACACTAATTACATTATACTACACTACAACTACAACTTTAACTGCAACTACAATTGCAACTACCACTAAATTGCACTACACGACGCTGCACTAAGTACACTACACTACACCACAACTACAAGTACAACTACGCTACCTCACACTACACTACACCATACCGCACTACAGTACACAACACTACAGCACACTACAATACACTACACTAACGTCAGCACACCACAACTACAACTGCCGCTGCCACTGCAACTACATGACGCTAATTACACAACATTACAACTACAACTCCGCTACACTACAACTACCACTACAACGACAGCTGCGCTGCACCACACTACATCCAGCAGTTGTGGTGAGGTGACCACTGCAAACGTTGCAACCACTTCAAAAAAACTCCAACCACCTTTCGGTCCAACAGTGGATTCGCTCTGCCATCCGTGATTCACAACAACCAACCTTTCCTATAGGTTTAACCTATTTGTGAAACTTCCGCCACCGCCTTGTGCGGTACTACAGGTATATCGCCAACATTTCCCATATAGGCGAATTTTTGCTGCTCATCACAGAGTTATCGCTTATCTCCCTAAATTTTCCTTAAAAATCCGGATCAATCAGCGCACCGCTGTGTCATTTTTTATCCCGTTGCCGAGACACCCCTTGGCACCCATGGGTGCCAGCCTCCCATCGGCAGTAACCTCCACAGTGGTGGAGCGCCAGGGCTCAGTGCCTCGCCTGAAGTCGTTGTTTTTTTCCAGGGGGGGATGGTGAGCCCAGTGCCATTCTCCTCAAAGTTTTGGAGGGTCCGAAAAAGAGGAAAAAAAACCACCCATGTCTACAGATATTGGGCATTG